CCCCCCCCCCCACTTCCAACTCTCATTGTGTGGAAAACAGACTTGTTCATGAGGAGGGAGCACAGATCCTTTGCATGGCTCCGATGCCTATAAGGAAACCAGGCTTCGGAGCCTGTAGGGCAATGAGATAAGGGCTCCCCACATCCCAAGCTCCATCTTCCATGGCACAGCTCCAAGTCACTGACATTAGGGATTATTACAGGAATGGCACACTGTTTTGCTTTTGAAGTGGGGGTCTTTAATCATCTTACAGTCTGGTCTTAATTGTTCCCAGCAACGCTGAGATGATTGTCTTCTTTTTACCAAAGAAACTGAGCTAGCACTTTCTCATTTTGCCATGTTGCTTGTGCAACTTTGTGGGCCTTGCCCCCACATCCCCCCAAAACACCTTTAGAATCTGATGCGGGTTTATGATCCAGACCACAATCAGAATTCTATCTTGGACCATTTATATTCCTTCTGCTCTCGATTCTGTGCACCGTAAGTTAGTGTTTTTCACGTTACAGGCTGCGATTCTTTGATGGGTTGTGGTCAGCATAGTTTGAATAAATGAAATGGGGTAGAATAAAATAGAAGGAAAAATATCAGAGTGTCATACTCACAGCATAGGGAAGTATTGTTTTGTTATAACTGTACATGTGCATGTGCATGTGCGTGTGTATGCTAACTGCTCTGTAAAATGTATTTCCTGCTGTGAGTTGTGTTCAGAGGAGTCAGAAAGCCATTGCTCTCAATTATATTAACCCAGCCAGATGGGTCAATCTGGGGAAAGGTCCACATTCACATCACCTTTCTGTAAGGGAATAAGGGCAGAGTTACCAATTCGGACTCTGATCGACATGGAGGGAAACCAGAGAAGGACATGAGCATAGAGAAACAGGTGTTTATTCAAGCGGAGAAGCAGCTGGGCTGAAGGCCTGCCACTGGGTGTGGGGTCTGCGGTTATAGAAGCAGCAGGAGGCAGGAAGGAACAGGCAGAGCCAGGAAAGCAGGGGTTATGGGGCAAGGCAGTGAGGGACCAGGGTACCCACATTACACGCGGGGTAGTGAGCCCCCTCCTCTTGAGGTCAGGGGACTCAGCTGGGAAAGGCAAGACCAGATGTCACAGGGCAGCTGGTTCTCCTCTAATCTACCCCAGGCTCACAATGTTGTTTCCACCCCAAGGTCCTAGTTCCCTAGCTGAGGTTAGTTACACCAGTCTTCCTCTCCCCTTCGTCCGTGACTTGAGAGACTCAAACCTGCCAGAAAGATGCTCAGGGTGTCTGGCTCCTTAAGGTTTGGGTTCCTCTCTTTACAGTGAAGATGAAAAGCCTCCTTGTTTTTGTGCTTTGGCTCAGAGCCTGGCAAGGGATCAAAATAAGATTCCAAAATAAGACAAGCTCAAGCTCAGGAGGCCAGAGATGAGGGGAAGGAAGAACGTCTAATGAGGTGAGTAGTTCTAGAAATAAGAAAGACTACCGGTTAGGTTCCAAGTCTGAGTACAGCCAGGCCTTGCCATCCTGTCCACCTTGTGGGGGCAGTTCCCAACAGGGCTCCTTGCCATCCCCCTGAAGTGTAAAAAAGCAAGTGGAGGAGGAGAGACACCTGGAGCAATGCTAGAGGTACACCCAAGGTTTCGCACAGGGAAATCAAATAATAACTGACTTCCGACATTTGCAACCCCAGGAAAGGTAACTGAGAAAGCTTCTGAAGCTCCTCTGCCAACTCGCCTTTCTACTGTACCAGAGTATTCTGTTTCCTGTTTCTTCCCCCACTCAGCTGTGAGCAGATGTGCGCAGAATCAGAAAGGCAGGCGGCAGCAGGGACAGGACCCCTGGTGGGTGAGATGTGGCAGTCTAGTTGCAAAAGGTACTAAGCCCCAGGAGGGAAAGGGAGAGGCATGGGAGTGAAGGCCACCGAGGGGTGTGTGGGGTGGATCTGGAGGCAGGTAAAGGACAGTATGGGCTGCAGCCTTTGACTTGGGCCAGTTCCTACCACGCCATGCTTACACCCTTTTCCACAGTCCTGATTTAGAGGGGAACGGGGAGGCCAGTCCCCTGAGATCATGGGCCCTCTTTCTGGAAGTCTTCTGGAGGATTGGGCAGTTGCTGAGAAGCAGAGAGGAATGTGGCTGACTGAGGCCAATGGGACGGCAGGGTCAGGGTGGTGACAGAAGGGACAGACGTGGTAGTCCCAGGTACCTGGCTCTAGTAATGCCCCATTCCCCAACACGGCTCTTCCCCGAGGCAAGGTCCTTCCCCCGGGGAATGACTGGTTCATCAGTCACTGGCCAGGCTCTTGGTACAGAGGCAGGAAGGGCAGCTCTGGGAAGGGGGCCCTCAGCCGCAGCACTCCATGCTCGAGGTCGATGCAGCACTGTGGGGGGTGGGGAGAAATGTGTGCTTCTCTCAGCAGGTAGCCTCTCCCTCAGCC